GCCCGGCATTCAAACCAAGGCACCTTGCAGCTTCTGTCCACCTCTGACCTTTTATGGTGCTGGGTTCTGTACCCGAGGGAGGGTTGTAGCAGGACCCCGAGTTTTCTTGTTAAAGCTTTTTGAAAATTCAGTTGAAGCTTTAAAAAATTTTGTTTATTTATATAAGAGGCTGAGTGACAAAAAAGAGAGAGAAATCTTCCATCCAGTGGTTTACTCCCCAAATGCCCTGCACAGCCAGGGCTGGGCCAGGCCAAAGTTAGGAGCCCAGAGTTCCTTGCAGGTGTCCCATGTGGGTGGCAGGGACACAAGCACTTGAGCCATCACCTGCGCCTCCCATGGTGCTCGTGAGCAGGAAACTAGATCTGTAGCATGGCGCACCAAGACTTGAACCAGACTCTCCAGTGTGGGATGTGGGTGTCCTAAGCTGCAGGCTAACGCTGCTGCCCTCAGTGCTGCCACAGTTGAAAGCATTCAGTGATAAATTTTAGCTTACAAATTTTGTATGTTCCTTTTAAGAAATCTTGAAAAATATAAATGGATAGTAAAAAAATAATTCCTCATCCTGCATCCTAACTGTGCATAGACAGGCACACTTAACATTCTATGTGTTTATTTAGTACTGTTTATTCTTTTTAAAAATTGGATTGATTTTAAAAATGGAATTTATTGGCCGCACCACAGCTCACGTGGATAATCTGCCTGCCTGCAGCACCGGCACCCCAGGTTCTAGTCATGTTTGGGGTGCCGGATTCTGTCCTGGTTGCACCTCTTCCAGTCCAGCTCTCTGCTGTGGCCCAGGAGGGCAATGGGGGATGGTCCAAGTGCTTGGGCCCTGCACCTGCATGGGAGACCAGGAGGAAGCATCTGGCTCCTGCCAGAGCAGCCGTAGCAGCCATTTAGGGGGTGAACCAATGGAAGCAAGACCTTTCTCTCTATCTCTCCTTCTCTCACTGTCTAATTCTGCCTGTTAAAAAAAATAATAAAAAATTTGCCGGTGCCACGGCTCACTAGGCTAATCCTCCACCTAGCGGCGCCAGCACACCGGGTTCTAGTCCCGTCGGGGCGCCGGATTCTGTCCTGGTTGCCCTCTTCCAGGCCAGCTCTCTGCTGTGGCCAGGGAGTGCAGTGGAGGATAGCCCAGGTGCTTGGGCCCTGCACCCCATGGGAGACCATGAAAGCACCTGCTCCTGGCTCCTGCCATCGGATCAGCGTGGTGCGCCAGCCGCAGCGCGCTGGCCGCGGCGGCCATTGGAGGGTGAAACAATGGCAATGGAAGACCTTTCCTCTCTCTGTCTCTCTCTCTCACTGTCCACTCTGCCTGTCAAAAAATAAATAAAAAAATAAAAATAAAAAATAATAAAAAATTTTACAAAATTGAATTTATTTTATAAATCTGTATTTTGATTTTGAAGTAGCATAAGACTTTTCCATATTATGAAGGTTGTCGGGAGTCAACTAGAAAATGGGAGATCCCTCTCCTCTCTCTCTCTCTCTATCTCTCTCTCAGCCTCCTTTGCCTTTCAAACAAGATGAAAATAAATTAAAATTAAATGCCTGTGATAGTGGTTTGTGCTAGAGACTTGATATCTATATATGTACACATTCACACATACATAAACACATATCCCAGTAAGTAAATAAATTCTTAACCATAAGACCCAAAACTCTAAAACGACTAGAGGAAAGCAGAGGGAAAGGTCCTTGGCATCGATCTGAGCAGTAATTTCTTGGATGTGACCCCAAAGGCGTGGGCAAAAGCAAAAATAGACATATGAGATTGCATACAAGAAAATCCTTCTCCAAGCAAAGGAAACAAATGGGATCTCTCTGTCTCTCCTTCTCTGTCTGCCTTAACCTCTCTGTCTCTGACTTTCAAAAAAAATTAAACAATTTTTTTTGTAGTAAAATAGGTCAGGAAAGCAAGGAAGATGGAAGGGGGGATAACAGAACAGGATACTTTTCTTTCTCTGAGGTTGGTATCTGAAGAACGGGGGGTTATTCAGGGTGAGTGCAGACGTTAAGGGGCTGTGGGGGCCCTGCCGGGACCCTCGGCCTCCCAGGAGTCAGGCAGGAGCAGGAAAGGACACAGGGTGCCGGCAGGTTCAGCGGCATCAGGCACTGAGACCACAAACGCAGTCCTGCAGAGAGGAGGGTGCACCAAGCACCGCCACTGCCAAAGCAAGCTGGGTCCAGCACTTCGGTGCCTAGTACTGTCCCCCTGTGTCCTGCATCCTCAGGACGCCCCAGGGGGAGAACCAGGGTTGACACTTGTGCAGCACCTGCTAAGTGACAAGCGCTGCTCTGGGTTCTCAGGCACGGGGGATGTCACAGTGAAATAAACATTACCAGAGCACCCACCCGATAGCCCTCCTGTGGTGTCTGGGACAACTTCATATGGAAAAAGAATGTCAAGTGCCTCACACCTGGTGCATGAAATGAGCTCCAGGGTGGGAGCTCTTCCTAATTTAAGATAGAAAAATAACTCTACCACCGGCACAAAGAAAGAAAACGTTGCAGGCACCAGAGAAGCATTCCATCCGCAGAGCAGGCATGCAGTAAGGCTCAGTGGGCCCAAGGTGAAGCTGAGGCGAGAATGGAAATAGATGCTCTTTAATATCCACAGCAACCTGCTGCTGTCACCATGGCCCCACACAGGAGCCTTGCACACGTTCCCAGTTTCTAGTGCTGGCGGTCATCTGTCACCACTGGGAGCCTTGCCTTGTACAGCAAAAGCACCAGGAATTATTCCTTTGTATATTCTGGAAGCATATGGTTTGTTTCCATTAATTTAATTCCACATGTAAATGTATGGCAGCTTGGGAGGAAACTAAGGAAAGAATGATGGCTTAATTTTTCACTGGTAACTGTGTTGCTCTGAGATGGCTACCCCGGGCAGTGTGTTACATGATTATGTGTGCTTTCTGCCTCCTAAGGGTGACTACACCAAAGCTGAGAATTAGGAGACTTTGGTCCTCCTGCTGGGTTCCCCGCGCACCTGCTATGTGACCTTAGTTAGTCACCTCTTCTGCCTTTACTTCCCCTGTCCATAAAAAGGAGGAGAGTAACATAGACCCCAGCCATCCTAGGCCTAACTAGAGACAAGGCCTTTGGCCCTTTGGGAGTTAAACAATCTATGGATCTTTCTCGCTCTGTCTGTCTTCTTTCTGCCTTTCAGGCAAACGAAAGTAAATTTCTGGCCGGTGCCACGGCTCACTAGCCAATCCTCCACCTGCAGCACCAGCACACCTGGTTCTAGTCCCGGTCGGAGGCCCGGATTCTGTCCCAGTTGCTCCTCTTTCCAGTCCAGCTCTCTGCTGTGGCCCGGGAGTGCAGTGGAGGATGGCCCAAGTGCTTGGGCCCTGCACCACATGGGAGACAGGAGAAGCACCCGGCTCCTGGCTTCGGATCGCGCAGTACACTGGCCCCAGCGCGCCAGCTGCAGCAGCCATTGGAGGGTGAACCATGGCAAAGCAAGACCTTTCTCTCTGTCTCTCTCTTTCTCACTGTCCACTCTGCATTAAGATTTATTTATTTGAAAAGCAGAGTTACAGAGAGAAAGACACACAGAGAGAACTCTTCCATCTGCTGGTTCACTCCCCAAATGGCTCCAACTGTCAGAGCTGGACCAGGCTGGAGCCAGAAGCCAAAAGCTAGGAGCTTCCTCTAAGTCTCCTACAGGGACCCAAGCCCTTGGACCACCTTCCATTGCTTTCCCAGCATACTAGCAGGAGCTAGATCAGAGTGGAGCAGCTGGGACACAAACCACACCCACATGGGATATCAGTGCCACAGGCGTGGCTCAACCAGATACACCACAGTGCCAGCCCGAAAATAAATGTCTTTAAAGATTTTTAAGACCGACCAGGTGTGGGCAAGACCCAGTGGAAAATTAAACTCAGGGTAGGGAAGAGAAGGTGACTGGGCTGCACGTCTGCCAATTGCCACCTGCCAGTTGCTATGCATGTCCACCCACACCCTGCATCACCAGCAGTAAACACCCAGTGGGGCTGCCCAGCACACAGACGACAGACAAGAGTGTTTGCTCCCGGGGTTGCACTGGGACTTGCTGGGAAGAAAGCTGGGGAACTTTCTGGGGTGATGCAAATGTTCTGTATTATATCTTGATGAGGGGCTTAGATTACACAATGACATGGGCCAGCATCTGTTGAAACTCATCGGATGAAACATGTTAGACCTGCACATTTCAGCGCATGTGCATTTTATCAAAAACATCGAGCTCAGAAGCACTCACAGGTGCTTCTGAAATCCGGAACTTTAGACAAAGATACTGGCGGGGTGGGGGGTGTAGGTAGGACGCCAGAGAGATGTGTACAAGGCAAATGCAGCAAAATGCTAAGTATGGAAGCTACACAACAGGCACACAATTGTTTAGATAGGATTCCTGCAAGTCGCAATGAATACTGTCCTGATAAAAGGCAGGAAAGAAAGGGATGGCTGACACGGGACTGAGTTCCAGAAAAGTTCAAAGGCACAGCAACAGCAAAGGAAACAGCAGCCCAGAAAGGTGGAAAAGCTACACCTTGGGCTTGGCACTGTGGTGCCGAGGGTTAAGCAGCCTCCTGCAATGCTGGCATCCTTCGGAGGTTTGCCCAAGTGCTTGGGCCCCAGGCTATCCACATTGGGAATCCTGGATGGAGTTCCTGTCTCCTGGCTTCAGCCTGGCCCAGCCCTCAAGTGCTGAATCAGGAGGCGGCCCTGGGCTGCAGGAACCACAGGATGGGCCTGTTCCTGTCTCCCAGTCTTCCACTCAGTAACCAGTCTGCTGAGGATCTGACCCCTGTTCAGATCCAGTATGGGAACCAAGGGCACGAAGGGGTCAGCCTCATGCCTGTAGCATGTGGTGTTGGATCTCCACCCCCATCAGGACTGCACCAAACTAAAGCAAGCTTTGAGGTTTTCTGAACAGTAGCTGTGTAAAATATCACTTATGCAAGGCAACAACGCAAACTTCCCAGGTCTGACGCACTGACCACACCTACCCTTGGTGGGGAGCAGTTTGGAGGTGACCTGCAGTGTCTCCAGGGGTTCCAGGCCAATGTTTTCTAAGGTGACGGCGAGTTGATGAGTCTCCCCGTTGAACAGCTGCATAGACATGTTGGTAGATATCTCGTCACCAGAGGAAGGCTGCAATGAGTGTGCCGATCTAAACCAAAAGCAGGGAGAATAAACTGAAGGAAGAAACCAACGCTGTGCAGGAATGATTCACATCAGGGGCCGGTGCTGTGGTGTAGTGGGTAAAGCCCTGCCTGTAGCACCAGCATCCCATGAGTGCCAATTCAAATCCCAGCTGCTCCACTTCCAATCCAGCTCTCTGCTAATGTGCCTGGGAAAGCAGGGGGAAAACGACCCAAGTGCTTGGGCCCCTGCACCCATGTGGGAGACCCAGAAGAAGCTCCTGGTTCCTGGCTTTGTCTTGGTCCCAGCTCCAGTCATTTGGGGAGTGAACCAGCAAATGGAAGATCAATTTGCTTGCTCTCTCTCTCTCTCTCTCCCTGCCTTTCAAATACTAAATTAAAAAAAAAAAAAAACTGATTCACATCAGGTAAAAGTACGACCACATTTTGGCATTTCAGAAATAGGAGCTAGAGAATCTTGGCTTTGAATGAGAAATTCGGGAGCCAACCATGCTGAGAACAAGTCAGGTTCTGTAAGCCAGGCATATGACGCGCCTCGGCTCCAGGCTCCTATCAGAGGCAATGTTTTTTCCCAAACCAAATCCTGAGAAAAAAAACAGCACAACAGGTTGAGGCGATTTCCTATGTGCCATCTGTAACAGCGTTCCTCGCTCCTAGGTCAGGGAAGGAAAGCCGATGCACAACCTCCCTGCATGACCCCTGTGCAGCTTGCACATCAGTTGCTCCTGGGGGAAGGTTTCAGGAGGTAACAAAACTCAGCCAGGACTAATCACTGGCCATCTCGCACAGGAGGGTGTCCAGGCACTCTGTGCTGCAGGGGACAGGGGCAGAAGGAGGCACCCACAGTGCAGGAGCCCAGGAGCCATGAGGAATGGCGTCAGAGTGAGACTGCAGCTGGCACTGCTGCAAAGGCACACTCGGGACATGGCTCTGGGACCCAGCTCCCACCAGCAGCACTGTCCTCCTCAGCCCTGCGCTGGCCCAGAGCCTTCCCAAGGCAGGAACGATGTTTCTGTCTGTTTGCTATCAGCTCCTTGCCATACACCTAGAGTCTAACAGGTACTCACTAAGAATGCACTGAACAGACTGATAAGCACCTCAACTCTGAACCTCCTGTGTGGCATATAAGAGCATTTTGTCAGTGTCTGCCCGAGCCCAGGACAGAGTGACCACTGTGTGTTCAGCGGCTGTTTGCTTGGTGCCTGGCCTGGTGCAGCATCTCTCAAGGTGCGGAATGCAGGGGCTGGTGTTGTGGTGTAGCAGGTGAAGTCTCTGCATGCAGCACTAGTATCTCTTAATGGGTGCCGGTTCAAGTCCCAGCTGCTCCACTTCCAATCCAGCTCCCTGCTAATACACCTGGATAAACAGTGGGAGATGGTCCAAGTATCTGAACTCCTGCCACCCACATAGGAGACCAAAATGAAGCTCCTGGTTCCTGGCTTCAACCTGGCCTTTGTGGTCATTTGGGGAGTGAACCCATAGATGAGACCTCTCTCTCTCTCTCTCTCTCTCTTTCTCCAGGTGTGTGTGTGTGTGTGTGTGTGTGTGTGTGTGTGTTTCTATGTAACTCTGCCTTTCAAATAAAAATAAATAAATCTTAAAAAAAAGAGACTGGAAGGAAGGCACAGCCCCATTGTGCCCACACACAAGCCATCAGGCCACGGGCCTAGCATCATTACTCCTGCCAGGCTCTGTGGCCCCCCAATGCCCACAGGGTTCTTCTCTTTTGCATGGCTGACCCACAGGGAGGCCTGTGTCCACTGTGCCATGCGCTGAGCTCACTTCTGTCTCTGGGGAGCTGCCTCTCCAGGGCTCTGCATCTGTCCCATCCTGCTGTTCTCAGTCGTATTTCACTCCCTTCCTTACGGTCTGTGTTTGACCATGCTTTGTAAATCCCACACTTTCTATGGAGCCTTCCTGAACCCCACAAGAAAGGGTCAGTGTCCCCTCCTCTGGTTCACATTACAGGAGCAGTCAGCAAATCCTAATGATCACACCAACCCCCTAAACCCCCCATCCCCCCGACAGGGAGCTCTTCTAAAGGGTCATGGCCTAGGTCAGGGTCCTGGAGCACAAGGTGGTGTTCACAGATGCTGGTGAGTGCATTTCACCAGTCACAGGGACCTTTATAGCAGATTAGTTACAATCAACACCTAATTAATCAAGAGTCACTTGAAAAAAACATTTATTTATTTATTTATGTAAAAGGCAGAATTACAGAGAGAGAGAAAGCCCACTTCCATCCACTGGCTCACTTCCCAAATGGTTGCAAAGGCCAGGGCTGGGCCAGACCAAAGCCGGAGCCAGGAGTTTCTTCTGGGTCTCCCACGCAGGTGCAGGGGCCCAAGCACTTGGGTCATCTGCTGCTGCTTTCCCAGGCCATAGCAGGGAGCTAGATTAGAAGGAAAGCAGCCGGGACACAAACCAACACCCATATGGGATGCCAGTGTTGCAGGCAGCAGCTTTACCCACTACACCACAATGGCCAGCCCAGAGAAATAGGGGGCCTTTTGAAAAATATGTCTTATACCATTTTTCAGTAAGAGATAAAAGGCAGCCATCCTGGCCTTCGGTGCCCATGCTGGAGCATGTGTTGGGAGCATGTGTCAGTGCGTCTCCACTGCTCAGCTGCACCCCTGGTGTAAATGGGCCATATTTGGTTCCTGTGTCAGGGCCCTGCTTGCCTGTCTTGCTCAGTGGCAGCCCAGGTACGAATGTGCCACATTTTGTTCAGCCACTTGCCAGGCAATGGGCATCCAAGTTCTGCCTGCTTTCTGGACTATTACAAAAAATACAGCTGTGAACATTCATATACAAGTTTCTGAGTCACTGTGTGCTTTCCTCGGCCTGGGTAGACACCGAATTTCTGAGTCATATGGTCAATTTACGTTCAACATTTGTAGAAACATGGCAAGCATGCAGGCTTCTCCAGCACCACACATGGCTACTGCCTGTCTTCTGACGACAGCCACCTTGGCAGGTGTGAGCAGGAACCCCACACGGTACCAGCTCCAGAAAGATTGATGATGCCACACACATTTCCAGGTTGCTCGTTAGCTCCTGGGAAGTCTTTCATGGGGAGAGAGCTAGCCCATACTTCTGTCAACCTTTCTAATTTAGTTGTTTGCCTTCTTAGTTTGGGTGTTAAGTAGCAGATCCTTACCAGAGACATGATGTACAAATATTTCCTTCCAGCCTGTGAGTTGTCTGTTCATTTTCTTAGTGGTATTTCTGGAAGCACAGCAGTTTTAATTTTGATGAAGCCCAATTTATCAGTGTTTTTTTCTTTGTGGATCTTGCTTTTGGTGACATGTCAAAGAACTCTTTGGCTAATACAAGGTCGTGAAAACTCTCACCAGCTTTCTTTTCAAAGGCTGGTGCTCTGAGCTCTCACAGTCAGGTCTGGGATCTGCTTTAGAATTCATGTTTCCTGCATTTCATTGCATTCCCCAATCACCCGATGCTTTCTCCACCTCTGACAAATGATCCCAGCTGCCCACTGTGCATGGCTAATTCCTGCTCCCAGCCCCTCACGGCCACCAGTGGGGACCGGAGGGCAGTGGCCATGCTGGTTCTGCCTTCTCCCTCTCTCCTGCTGAACACAGCCTCCCTGAGCACCAGGCCCCAGAATGCTGGGTCCACGGTTTCAGCTCTGGCACCTGGCCCACTGCCTAGCAAGCAACAAGCATGTATCAGACACACAAACCAGTTAAAAACCTTTTAGAAAATCTCAAACATCCTAAAAATAGCCAAAGGATGTCCAAGAAGTGTCACCCCTGAGGGCAACAACTGAGAACGGCCCAAATCCAACAGCAAGGAAAGGGCGGTTATGCAATCCTGAGATATCCTCAGGCTGTCCTTTTTAAACGCAACTAAAACTAAAACCAGGTTTTTAAGACTCTGTGGAAGTGTGAGGAAAAGCTTATTAATGTGATTTCACAAAACTCATCTATGACACCGTGTTCAGACAAGTGTTTTCTAAAGTGGCAGGAAGCACCTCCAAGCATTCACAGTGACTGGCTCCAGGCCTCCTGACAGCCACTTCCCTTTCTCCTTTATGCTTCCCTGTGATGCTGAAAATCTAAAACAAAAACAAAACATCCCATATGGGTACCAGTTCGGGTTCTGTCTGCTCTTCTCCAATCAACCTCCTGGCTAATGGCCTGCGAAAAGCAGCCCATGTGTTTGGATCCCACGCCCACATGGGAGACCCAGATGAAGCTCATGGTTCCTGACTTTAGCCTGGCCCAACGCTCCCCGTTGCGGCCATCTGGAGAGTGAACCAAAGGATGGAAGAGCTCTCACTCACTCTGTGTGTCTCTCCCTCTCTTTGTGACTCTTTCAAAAATAAATAAATATTTCTTTAAAAACTAAAATAAGGGCCAGCACTGTGGCTCACTAGACTAATCCTCTGTCTTGCGACACTGGCACACCGGGTTCTAGTCCTGGTCAGGGCGCTGGATTCTGTCCCGGTTGCCCCTCTTCCAGGCCAGCCCTCTGCTGTGGCCAGGGAGTGCAGTGGAGGATGGCCCAAGTACTTGAGCCCTGCACCCCATGGGAGACCAGGATATGTACCTGGCTCCTGCCATCAGATCAGCATGGTGCGCTGGCTGCAGCACGCTGGCAGCACCGGCCATTGGAGGTGAACCAACAACAAAAGGAAGACCTTTCTCTCTGTCGCTCTCTCACTGTCCACTCTGCCTGTCAAACAACAACAACAACAACAACAACAAAAAACTAAATAAAAGAATTCTGTCAAAGAGAAGAGTGATTTTTTTAGATGCCCTAAGATCCTGACTGTTTTTGGAAGAATAATTCACATTTGGTCCTAGCCTTAGTATGGGAGATCTTGACTGCTCTAATTTGCTCTGGGCAAAACGGATGAACTACTGTGGACTCTCAAGGCCCCCTCCTGCAGATTCTGGGCCTGCAAATTCTGGACGCATGCAGAGCCTGTGCGCCTCACGAGGGAAGGCTCCCCAGGGCTGCTTCCTGCCCGTGGCTGCACACCTGTGCTCACCGGGTACCTGGGCAGGGAGGTGCTGATCTGCAGTCTTGGCAAAGCGGGGATGACTTCCACAGTAGAGCCGCTGGTCTTTATTCCCGGGAGGTGGTCCAGCAGGCAGTCACTGACAACACCAAAGACGGAGGTGTGGTAACCTGGGACACAGGAAAGTAGAGACCTCACAACTCCCAGCAAAGCTCCATGCCCCGTGTCCACCTTCCTGTCCACTGCTGAAGTCCCCAACCAGCAAGGGCAACCCTGCAGAAGACCTGGGTCCTGGTGCTGGCTCCGTTACCTGCCAGTCCCTGCCCACAGCCTCAACATCCCTCGGGCTCCTCCTTTGTGGTGGGGGTTACAATGGCCCCTGTACTCCCATCCCACCAGGCTGACTGGGCCCAAATGGGAAAGCTCCTGTAAGCCATCAATCTCTGCACAACCCGTAGTCAGCATCTCAGCCCGGGACTCACTTGCTTTTCAGATTTATCCATCTCCACAGTGAGGATGGCAGTTAATATTCCCTCCCGGGACATAATGTAATTTAATGAGTATTTGAAAAATGCTTCAGAACTTTCTGTTCAGAGGCGAAAGTTCAAGAGCCAATTATTATTATTGCAGCAGCTTTGTGATGGGGTGAACTGGCTGTGTGTGTTGTGTGTGTGTGAGCACTGCCGTTTAAGATGAGCAAATTTCCCACTGGTGAGATAAGCACTTGAAACTATTCAAGCAAGCTGTAGAACGGCTTTTGAAATTTACCTAATTATTGTCAACAGCATTTACTGTGCAAGAAAATGAAACCATACCCAGCGGCTCGAGGCTCAGGTGACAACCTGCCTACACTGTGTGAGCCTGGGGTGTGCTCAATGGAGAAGCCAGCATGGCTTTCAAGGGCTCCCGGGGCCCCAGCAGCCTCCTCGGTCCTCCTGAGGTTCCTGCTGGCTGGGAGCTGCTCTCTCAACACCACTCCAGCTCACCCTCCCTCAGAGGGTGGGCTTGTCAAAACACCCCTGCAATGGGCAAAACACTATTCTCCCCACAAATCCATACCTGGAACCAGGTTTCTCGCATTTGCCTTTCAACAGGAACCTGATATATGTTTTGCCTGCTGAGCAACCACTATTTTATAATTCCTAATTAGAATCAGGCCTTTCCTTACCGTTGCTGAAAATGGCTGTCACATAATAGTCTGATGACAAAGACTTGGGGTCCACAATTACTGTGCACAGCAGTACAGGGTCAGCCGTCTAGCTTTGGGCACAAGACACACCAAAGAACAATGCCAACTGCTCTGCACAGAGATGCACAGCTCAGGGACCACTAAGTCCACACAGGTAGTGGAGGAAGTGGAAAAGGATAGGGCACTTGCAAGACAGCAAAGGTAGAGGAACAATGTGTAACCCAGCAGGAAGGCTCGGCAGAGGAGCACAGAGATGGACCACACAGGGCTGGGGAACTCGGCCTGATGACGAGGGAAAGTGACTCCCACTGGTTGACCAGGATGCCTTCAGAGGAGAGAGAAGGGTCTCAGAGGAGAGACCGCTTTGGGGAGGGGAGGCAGTACATTTGGGTTGGACGTGTAGAACACGCATGTCCCACCCGCTGGACACCAGGGGGATAGCTGGGAAGTGCTGGGGCGCAGGCCAGAGAAGGGTACCTGACACCAGGCGTGGTCAGCAGTCTATAGAATGTGAGGCAGAAAAACACTGTGGGGCTGGGGATACCCTCACCAGTGGTGATGTACAGAGGACAGAGAGGAGGACAAGAAACACAGAGTGAGGAGCACCTGTCAGAGGGCTGGGCTGCAAGGGGACACCTGCACGAGACCAGCAAGACTGCGGAAGAAGGGCCAAAGAGACCGCGGAAAATCTGGAGGGTGTGGTGTAACCAAGGCTGGAGGACACAGCTCTCCACATATGCAGGGTAGGCAAATGAGCACTAAAGCTCCAAGCAAACCAAACCACTGGTCCAGGTTTAGGTAGAAAATGCCACTAGTGATGCCACAGACAGGTGTCCTGGTGAAGGGATAAGGGTTAAACTCAGGACGCGGAGGGGTGCAGGAACATGGCACTGGTGGCAGAAGTGACTCAGTGTGCACAGCCAACTCTCCCAAGAGATCCAGCAGAAGACAGGGGCTTCCTGAGAGCACATGGGACATCGTGGCATCAGGAAAGGTCAGGATGCAGAGCTAGGAACTAAGCTGTTGGAAGACTGTCTGGAGGAGGAGGCAGACAGAGCACAGGAAGGGGCCCCGCCCAGTGCAGCAGGAGCCTGGCAGGTGCCAATCACACTCCAACAACTTGCACCACATCCCAAGGAAAGGCAGTCTTTCCCCATCCCTTGATGGACGAGGACTAACGAGATGGGTGAGAGGCTCTGGACCCTGGTGTACGGAACAGCAGTGTGGCAGCCCCTCAACAGCAGCAATCAGAAAAGCCCTTACCGTTCACGGTGATCGTTCCAGTCGTCTGTGGGACCCCTACGAGCGTCACCAGGTACAGACCAGACTCGGCCGGAAGGGAGAGCGCTGCGGGGCGCAACTCGAATTCCACTCCACTGGTCAGCAGCCCCTGCAGCAAGTCACAGAGCGACGTGAGCAGGACCAGCCTGCACCACACACCTGGCAGCCCAGAACAAGGCAGTGGAAGGCTGCGGCTTCTTAGAACCCACAGAGAACTGCAGAGACCATGCACACGTGACGCACGGGGCAGTCAGATCAACAGCCGCTGTCCTTGATTTTGGTCCTCTCTTCCATGTTTCTGATGTTTGCTTTGCTTTCTTCTTGTACCAAATGGGAATATGAACACAAAGGAAAATTTTTATTTTCTTTTTTGAAACACTTATATTTATTTGAAAACAAGAGGGAAACAGAGACAGAGAGATCTACTGTTTTACTCCACTAATGGCTGCAATGGCCGGGGCTGGGCCAGGCCAAAGCCAGGATCCAGAAGCTTCCTCCTGGTCTCCCACAATCTAAAAGACATCAACAATCACCAGTCAACTATTGGAAAATAAAATGTTTAAAAAAATTAACAAGACACCAAAAATTCCAACTATCTTGGAGCAAATCTAACGAATAATGTGCAAGATTTCATCACAGTTACAGAACCCTGCTGAGATAAATTAGAGAACTCAAGACACAGAGAGTCCTGCCCTGTTTGTGGGGTTCCGCTTTCCACAGTTTGCAGTCAAGGCAACCCTCAAACTCTCAGATCCAGGTCCGGCATTGGGGCATAGCAGGTAAAGCCTCTGCCTATAACACCAGCATCCCATATAGCTGCTGGTTTGCATCCTTGCTGCTCCACTTCTGATCCAGCTGCCTGCCCATGTGCCTGAGAATACAGCAGAAGATGGCCCAAGTGTTTGGGCCTCTGCCACCCATGTGGGAGATCCAGACAGAACTCCTGTCTTCAAGCCTGGCTCAGCCCTGGCTTGGGCGGACACTTGGGGAGTGAACCAGCAAATGGACTCTGTGACTCAACTTTCAAATAAATAAATAAATAAATAATCTTTAAAAAAAAAAAAAAAAACCTCTTTTATCTGTGGCAGGACAAGGCATGTAAGTGGGTGTGCTGAGAGGAAGGTTGCAAACATGGAACGCAGGAAGGCAAGATGCCGGGCCTCGGTGTGAGTTCAGGATGTATGAAACCTGCATGCACAGATGTGTGCGTGGTGTAGACAGCTGGGTGTGTGGAATGCACATACACTGTGTCTAACTCTGTGCACAGGAGACGCCAGCAGCAGAGACACTCTGGGGGCAGTGAGCACGCCTGCCGCCCACATGTGAGGCAAACGCGTGAAGTGATCTGCGTGTGTGAGTGTGGAGGGGGTGCAGTGGGCAGGGCACACTCAGTGAAGCTGATCGCATGCCTTTCATCTCTAACAGACACACTGGCCTCTCTGTCTTCTTAGAACAACCAGGGCGGTGTGGCCACCGCTGCCTGCCTGAAATGCGGGTAGCGTGTGCACGTCTGAAGTGTTCCATAGTCAGCTTTTGACACAGCACCATGGTATGCTGGCTATATCCAAGTGGTGGTTTTCTCTTGTCTAAGTCTCTACCCTTCCTGATTTGTTAAAATATGTAATTTATTACTTTTAAACCAGGTAAAAATGCTACTTTTAAAATGAAAAAAAAAATGTATAAGAAACAACAGCAATCATCTGACACTTTAACTACTTTGTGGTAAATTCCCCCCTTGGATTCCAAGAGCCAGACAGCCACAGCAGAGGCTGACCATGGCCATGTCCTGAGGCCAGTGAACCCTTGTGCAACAGTTGGGGGGACACCGGTGCTCAGTCAGTCTCAGGACTGCTGGCTTAACACAGGCTTGGGGAGCAGTCACATGCAGCAGGGCTGCCCAACAGTCCTGGCTTGCGGAAAACTGTGGCTCCACCAGGCAGTCTGGCCCAGCCAGCAGGGGCGTCTCTCCCAGGCAGGCGCCATGCATCCCCAACACAGCTCATTGTGTTCACACCAGGGATAAGGCCTATAGGCCTTTGTATCCCCCGGGTCCCACGCACCCTGTACCTGGCACAGGGCATGGCCCTCAGTGAGACACCAGCAGGAAGAGCCTGGTTCTCACCTGGAACACCAGTTATGAAACTGGTCGCAGTACAGAGAACCTTGGGAACGGATCCCATGGTAGTCTGAAGGCAGCACAAGTCCCCCAAACAAGCATGGACCAGGGCGTGAATCTTCCACATCCTACATGGTGCAGTAACACAGCACCTCTCTCTACAGCTCCCCCTGCACCTCAATCCCTGTGTCACCTCACAGCAGCACAACAATCTCCAGTAAGCCCCTGTGAACTCCAAAGTGCTGACTTCCAGTCTCATAGCCAATGGGCAAAGCTCAGTGCACGTACAAGCCCAAGGTTGCTCTGTGCTGTCTACTCGGCAGCAAGCATGAGACACGGTAATGACAAAACACGGACTTCACTCACCAAACGCTTACTATCTTGGGCAAAGCAGACATGTGTGCCAGAATTAGTGCCTCTAACAGTAAGCAAAGTTGCATTTTAGTGACATGCTGGGGTTCTCGGTCACAGAGGCCCCTGGCGGTGGTACATACCATGTTCTGCACTCGAAGCTCAAACAGCATGGGGTTGTACACCATCAGCTGGACTTCACATACGTCCCCTTGAACCCACTGGAAATCTAGACACACACACAAAGAACCCTGGGGTTAGCAGGTAGTTTTGAACTTCTCATGGGGTTTCAGATCAGCCCACTGACGATTTTCTTCCCACAAAGGTGGTGGCCGCCATGCCCATTGTGAGGCGGGAAGTTCACAGCTTGGTGTGCCCTGCTTTCTCTGAAACCACGCAAAGCAAGGTATTGCCACTGTCCTGACGCTACACACAGGGTGCCTCCCCCGCCCTCTGCAGGCTGCGCTCCTGCTGGCACCCCAAGGCCACCTCACAAAGCTACAGCTGGACCTGGTGTGGTCCCTTACAGCACACAGCACCCCAAGGGCCCACAGGCTGTCAATTCAGGAAGAAGGCTGGGGTCATTGACAAGAGGTCCGGAGTGTGGGTCACCTGTGCCCCCCAAGACCATGACTTTTCCACCCAGCCCACCTCCTTGTCAGTTGTAACTCAGCAGCCGCTTGGGGAGACAGAACTCTGAAATAACCCCAAGACTCCAAGCAACCCCAAAACAACCCCAAGATGACCTGAGTGTGAACATGATGACCAAGCCACATGACAGAACACAGGTGAATGGTTCCTGTAGACTTAATAGAGGTCCCCAACCAGCTGACCAAGTTCATCAAAAGGGAGATTGCTCTAGATGGGATAGACATGATCAAGTGAGCCCATAAAGGGGTGAGACCCCTCCTGGAGGGGTGGCCCCTAGGAACTCAAGCCAGCAGCACAGGGAACTGAGGGAGGGGCTGGGGGCCAGCAGGGGTGAACAGGGACCTGAGGGAGGGGCTGGGGGCCAGCAGGAACAAGGACCTGAGGGAGGGGCTGGGGGCCAGCAGGGGTGAACAAGGACCTGAGGGAGGGGCTGGGGGCCAGGAGGGGAATGGGGACCTGAGGGAGGGGCCGGGGGCCAGGAGGGGTGAACAGGGACCTGAGGGAGGGGCTGGGGTCCAGGAGGGGAATGGGGACCTGAGGGAGGGGCTGGGGGCCAGGAGGGGAATGGGGACCTGAGGGAGGGGCTGGGGGCCATCAGGGGAAGGGGACCTGAGGGAGGGGCTGGGGGCCAGCAGGGGAACAGGGAACTGAGGGAGGGGCTGGGGGCCAGCAGGGGTGAACAGGGTCCTGAGGGAGGGGCTGGGGGCCAGCAGGGTACGGGGACCTGAGGGAGGGGCTGGGGGCCAGCAGGGAAACAGGGACCTGAGGGAGGGGCTGGGGGCCAGGAGGGGTGAACAGGGTCCTGAGGGAGGGGCTGGGGTCCAGGAGGGGAATGGGGACCTGAGGGAGGGGCTGGGGGCCAGGAGGGGAATGGGGACCTGAGGGAGGGGCTGGGGGCCAGCAGGGGAATGGGGACCTGAGGGAGGGGCTGGGGGCCAGCAGGGGAACAGGGACCTGAGGGAGGGGCTGGGGGCCAGCAGGGGTGAACAGGGTCCTGAGGAGGGGCTGGGGGCCAGCAGGGTACGGGGACCTGAGGGAGGGGCTGGGGGCCAGCAGGGTAAGGGGACCTGAGGGGGGCCACCTCAGGGAAATGGCTGAGGATACCATGAGGGGTATGGACACAGACCTCCCCTGGACAAGCCTGAGATGTGGACACAGCCTGGGCATAGGACTGCACTGGACGCCCTGATTTCACAGACAGTGAGGAAATCAATCTGTATTGCTCTAAACTGGGAAGTTGGTGATTTCTTACAAAGCAACGAGACACCAGCAGAGTATCCACGACGGGTGTCCAAGATATGCCAGCAGGCAGAGCCTGGCTCTCACCGGAACACCAGTTATGAAACTGGAAGGCAGAGAAGGAAAATCAGACCCCACGTGAGGCGTAAAGCCCTTCCACACGGCTGCCCCACTGCTGTTTGTAATCACCTCGGGGGAACAGCAGTGACCCCAGGGTCACAAGGCAGGCACTTGGGGTCTTAGCAGATGAGCAAACCTGCCTGGGAATACCACCGCCAGCATCTTGTGCCACAGGGACTCTGGCCCATGCCTGGGAACTCCAGGTGGGGCCTAGCAGAGATGTGGTGGCAGAAGGGGAAGCAGAGGCTTTTCCAGCATTTGCTGACCGGAATTCCTTGGCTTCACGGAGCCTTCAGCTTCTGCAAACACCTTGTGCCGGGGCAGCCTGCACAGGATCCAGGACCAGCTCCACCACACCTGTGATGATGACCGGGAGCTGGCATCTTGGATCCATTCACAAGATGATGGCACAGAGTAACACAGTGCAGGACCGACTGCCACCTGGTCGGAACCAGCACTTGTCTTATTTTACGAAGAGGGAAAACTCTTCCTGACAGGTGGGACAGCCTGCCCATCTTAGGCCCTGATAAATCATTGCTCAGACTCAAACACAAGGCTGTCAGCTCTGGAACCCGTGCTCTTTCTCCCTCCACCAAGCTGCCCCTCGGTAGCTCCTGGGACTCAGGCTGCCCTCTCTTTGCAGGGGTCTGATGTCAGCCTCTGATAAGCTGCAGGGGCTTCTCCACAAAGGAGCCAGGGAAGCTGTGCTCATCCCACCTGCCCCCTCCACCCTTAGCAGCCTCCCTTGGCCTGCAAGGGACTGGCACCCCAGCCCACCCCCAACCAAAGATGAGGAACTCATTGTCTCTTAAACAGGTCCTTATGCCTGCTATCACAGATTCATTCTCTCTCGTGGTCAAAAAATGATCATTGTGCTTTCCAGGGTGCCAAAAAAAGTAATTTGTACTTTGACGGCCTTCATCCACTACAGGTAAGTCTAAAGTCAATCACTGAGTCTGTGAGAAGTGATTTTTGTCAGAAACAGACAATCCCCTGCCCGTGCCCCTGCCTCAACAGTCCCTCCCTGAAACAGCAAGAGAGCAGGAGTCAGCGGCGGTGAAACCAGCTGTCTCAGGTTTGGCCCATCCCCTGCGCCCGTTATCATCTGTGCAGACAGGTGCTTCTGTGGCCACATTTGCCTCTGCCTGTGGGAAGAAGCGCTCCTGATTGCCTGCTGCATCCCAGTACCGAGCCCCAGGCACACGAGTGCCAGTGCAACCATCATCTACAGGGACATCAGGAACTCTCTATTCTGACCCTCAGCACAGTGCCTCCATGAACTCCCAGTGTGCCCACAGCAGGGAGGGCACACGTGCAGCCCAGGTGGCCCTGTCAGCTGTCCAAGGTCACATGGTGGGGAGTGGGGGTTATAGGGCTAGGCTGCAACCCAGGCTGCCACGTTCTGTCCAGGCCACCCTGCCTGGCAGCAGTGACCTCAGATTGAATCTGGGATACCACAAGGTCCTTTCACAAGAGGGAGTAATCTCTTCACCCCTCCACGGCCTTGCCTGGGACCTTGGTTGCCATCATCTCTGCTCAGAGCAGGGCCCAGACGAAGCCTGCACACAGGCACTCAGGCCAGGAATCAGTGCAGGCGGAGGGCAGGTGGTGTCAGCACTGGCCCTCAGGGTCTGCCTCACCTCCAGTGCCCAGTTAAAGATGGACTTACAGAGACTAGAATCTCAGGCAAAAGGGACACGAGTCTTCACACTATAGGCAGAAAATTGTCCAAAAGATATCAGAAGTTGTGGAACACAAAGTACATTCTCCTACCCATGAGTATTCAACAAATAATATGCATCTCAGCTGAACCTTCTGTTATAGATATTTCAGAAAAAACACAAAGCTTGACATTATCCACTGAATAGATGAGCAGGCACTTCTTACTATGATGCAAAACTGTATCACAGAGGCAAGGGTGGAGGGCGTGTGGCATGGCGGTTCAGACACCACTTGGGATGCCTGCATCCCATATCAGAATGCCTGGGTTTCAGTCCCTGCTCCACCTCCAATTCCAGCTTCCTGCTAACATGCACCCTGGGAGGCAGGAGGTGACAGCTTAGGTACTCAGGTCCTTGCCACCTGGATCATTGAGTTCTGGGCTCCCATCTTTGAACTGGCCCAGCCCTGGCTGTGGTAAGCATTTGAAGAGTGAACTTGTGGATGGAAGATCTCTCTCCATGTCTCCCTCCCTCCCTTGCTCTCTCTCTGTCTCTCCCTTTCAATAAAATGAAAAGCAAACAAACAAACTGAAGTCCCTGAGTGCCGAGTTCTAAGCCGAGGGAAGGAGACAGGGCCTGGCCATGACCTGGCTGGCTGGCTCAGGGCAGGTGATGTGCACCCCTCAGTCTCCACCCTCTCCGTGAACAGGCACCTGCAGCATCAGCATCCCACCACGATGAGAACTCCTACCTGGTGTCGGCTTTGGGCCTCATTCACAAAAGGAAGCCTCATCAGTTGCTGAAGAACAAAGAACAGTAATGAGGCTGGATGCTGGGCACGAGCCACAAGGGCAGAGACTCCAAGCCAAGCTCGAAGGCCTTGAGTTTAAGGCTCTGATGTCGCTGTCTTTGAATCCTTAATAATGTTGTAACCAGGGGCTCCCCGATCCCCTGCTGTGCTGGGCCCTGTGGATCACACAGGTGGCCTCAAGAAGAGGAGCCTGGCCTCCAGCCCTTAAGCCCTCTATACAAGTCTGCTCTAGAGCCTCTCTGGCCCCGCCTACCCAGTGCACAGTCTTTGCTCAGGCTCAAAGGGGAGGTACCCAGGAGCACCTCTGCCACCGACATCCTGTCTCCCTGTTTGACTTCCTATGCACTTGTCCAGCCTGCACGAACTGGGTGGGTAGGGGCAGGCTGCAACCCTCTGGCTTAGCTCAGTGCAGCCCAGTGTCAACATGCTTGGAACACTTACACTAGCCAGGAACTGGGCTCACATGATTTACTGAACACTGACAGCAAAGGACAGAATGGTGTATAGGTGGCTGCCACACCACCATGAAGCCATGACGCTGTACCTGAGCCCTTAGGAGCCAGGCATAATCTGCAGCTAACTGGGGCCCACACCAGGTGTGCATGCACATTAGAGCAAAACAGAGAGCACCCCTGGGAGCGGGATACTTGGTCTGGGGATGTGTGAGCCCAGCTCTTGGCTTTGCCACTAAGCAGCTAAGTAACCTGTAGGAAACCATCTCTCTGAGTCTGTGTTTTTCTGTCTATAAAAGGAGGTAAAAATCAACTCCTCCAAAATTAATGCGACAACTAAAGGCACAAAAATATGAGCCAGCCATTTCTCAAGCAGCATCTGAATGAAGAAGTGATCTCCAGGGACAGAAAGCACAGGTCTGTCTAGGACTCCCACCTTGGTCTTGCCCTGTAGCTGAGCAAAAACTTTACTTCCAAAGACGCACTGTTTTCAGGGAGTTCTGACAACATGCAACTTGTTGGTGATGTTTATGGTGAGGCCCTACTAGGAGCTGAGGCCAGCTGGTGCTGGAGTTACAGGAGGAACGCTACGATGATGATCTCCACACAGCGCTCCGGTGTCCCTTCTGCAGGGAACAACGCGGCACTGCGGACAGCACAGACTGAGCAGCGAGGCCACTTCTCCTGGCAGTGAGGTCCTGGACAAGCCCGGTCCACTCCAGTCTCTCTTTCATTGTGCTATGGGCATTGGGAACAGGACAGGGAGCAGCACAGAGCTCCCGGCCTCTTGCTACATTGTGGGAGGGAAGCCATAAAGAGGCAAATGTCTAATTGAGTTAAGGAAAGGCACTACCAAGGGGCAAGCTAGGGATGCTGAGGGCAGGGTGGCCTCCAGAGTACTGGGAGCAGCAGATTCCCCCTCTGAGAAGACGATATTTGAACAGAGACCCAAGCAGCGTGACTGTGAGTGAGGCAGCGACAGCAATGGGACGAGGTCCATGCAGAGACCAAAGCTGTGGGACTGGGACAAGTCATGTGTTCAAGGACCAGGAAGGAGTCATGTGGCTGGATCTGAGAAGCAGAGGTGAGAGAGGTGGGGGGGTCAGGACAGGCAGGCAGCAGGGGTGGTATGCGAGGCAGGGCCCCTAAGGAATGAAGGTGCCTTTTCCCTAAAAGGAGGCACAGCAATCAAAACCAGAAATAAGAGGCAGCACAGAAAGTGCTCAGGATCAAAAACCGAGAGCAAGAGAGCTGCCAGCAGCCTTGGGCCTCCACACCAGGAGGGGACCAAGGGCAGTCGGCCTCTGGGCAGGGCCCGGCCTTCCCTAAGCTTGGGCTCCTTGTCTAAGAAATGCAGGCCCCTGCCCCTGTAGATCTGTCATGGGGACGCACAGGCCAACCAGCATGACAGGCAATCCCCGCCCCACATGCAAGGGGACCCTGGTGTCTGTCTCCAGGGCAGTGAGGGAGACAGCTCGAGCCACGGCCAGGCCTTGCAAAGGACACCTGGACACAGGACAGGGAGGGCCTGGGGCACACTGTGCCCTGGGTCAGTGACAGGAGAGACATGAGTGGTTGCAGCCTGGGAAGGGGCGGGGAGCTTGGAGCCAGAAGGGCAGAGGCGAGGTCTTCAAGAGAACCAGGGTTCTGCTCCCCCTCTCCCCACGTTCACGGGGAAACGGCACCAGGGACACGGCCCAACCCCAGAGCAGAGCTTTCTCTGCTGGGTGGGAAGTCAGCACGGACCGTGTGAGATCACGCTTGTCTCCACTGCCACTCTGACGTCATCTGTGTTAAGTCTCAATAAACACAGCTCTTTCCAGTTCCTGGGACTTTCCTGAAAATGCCGTCAATGAAATACAGCTTTAAAACTCAGCTCCATGGGCAGCTGCCTGCCAAAGGCAGCAAACCAGACAAGCTTCCGTGGGAGGAAAGGCACACAGGTGGCCTCCCATTCCTGTGCTGCTGGGCCACGTGGCCCAAGGAAAAGGAGCTGACTGGAACCTTGTAAATAGGAGAGTGACAAGGTCAGACTAGTCTCAGTCACAGCCCAGGCAGACCTGGATCTGGACGTGGCTCTGCCATTGAACAGGCAAGTGCCTGGGGCCACTGTGGGACATCACAGGTCCAGTCTCTCGCGTCCACATATCCAGGATGGCGGTCATCCAGGAAAACATGGAAGTTCTTCTCAAGATCTCTACACGTGGGGTGGGAGAAGCCCCGCCCACCTTACCTGACAATGGGGAGCTTGGTGAAGGGCACAGGGTCAGGGTGAGGCCATCTGGGAGAGTGATGAGCTCCATCGTCCCAGGACACTTGGAGGTGTAGTTCTCCAGGCTCTGAGTCACATCCTTCTTCTCTGAAGAGAACACAAACACAAGATAAAGGCTCATTAAACAGAACGGGCAGCTGCGGTATTTCCTGAGCACTCTGAGGTAGACAGGTATGGACCATGGAGGCGAGGGCTGTGCAGGGCGTCCCTCAGTGGATCCAGACATTCAGCAGCAGCTGCTCCATGTGAGGGCCTAAGGATGGAGGCAACATCAAGGCACTCTCCTCGACGAGGTTTCCATTGGCCCAGGAAACGTGTCTGCACCAAGTTCCAAGGCAGCCAGCAGGCAAGACGGGGGGAGGAGTGTGCCTGCGACCAAACAGCACTTTCCCAGCTGTTAGTTTTTTTAAAGGTTGAGAAGTAAAGATACAGCTTTTGGGACACAAACTCCTTAAAGGGAAGAAGACCTTGCCTTTACCAATACTTGCATTTTTCTGAGCACTCATGCAGGCCAAGTACCATGCTGTGTTCCTCAGACTACAAAATCTGGAAGGAGGGGCCGGCATTGTGGCATAGTGGGTAAAGCCATCACTAGCAATGCCAGTATCCCATTTGGGTACCGGTTGGAGTCCCAGCTGCTCCATTTCCAATTCAGCTCCCTGCCAATGTGCCTGAGAATGCAGCAGAGGCTAGCCCAAGTTTGTGGGCCTCTGTAGCAACATGAAAGACCCAAATGGAGCTCCAGGCTGCAGCCTGGCCTAGCACTGGTCATTAAAGGTATTTGGGGAGTAAACCAGTGGATAGGAGATTGCTCTCTGTCTCTCCCTCTTTCTTTCTCTGTTATTCTGCCTTTTTTTTTTTTGACAGGCAGAGTGGACAGTGAGAGAGACAGAGAGAAAGGTCTTCCTTTGCCATTGGTTCACCCTCCATTGGCCGGCACGGCTAGCGCGCTGGTGCCGGCGCACCACGCTGATCCGATGGCAGGAGCCAGGTACTTATCCTGGTCTCCCATGGGGTGCAGGGACCAAGGACTTGGGCCATCCTCCACTGCACTCCCAGGCCATAGCACAGAGCTGGCCTGGAAGAGGGGCAACCGGGACAGAATCCGGTGCCCTGACCGGGGCTAGAATGCGGTGTGCCGGCGCCGCAAGGTGGAGGATTAGCCTAGTGAGCTGTGGTGCCAGCCTGTTATTCTGCCTTTCAAATAAATAAAAACAAATCTTAAAAAAAAAAAAAAACCTTGAAGGCAAGAGATCTTGGTATATTTAAAGAACTTCAATACTTTTTATTCAAAATAGGTACATGATACTTTCCCTCAAAATTTCTATAAAGAAGGGGTGAAGAGGGGGTCCAGTGCCGTGGCACAGAAGGTGAAGCCTCCACTGGCAGTGCCAGCATCTCATATGGGTGCTGGTTCAAGTCCTGGCTGCTCCACTTCTGATCCAGCTCCCTGCTAATAGCCTGGGAGCACACTGGAAGATGGCCCAAGTGCTTGGCCCCTGCATCCACATGGGGGACTGGATGAAGCTCCTGACTCCTGGCTTCAGCCTGCTCTACCCCTGGCCACTGCAACCATTTGGGGAGTTTACCAGCGGAAGGAAGATCTCTCTGTCTCCACCTCTCTCTTGGGAATTCTGTCTTTCAAATAAATAAATCAATCTTTAAAAAAAATCTTCAATTATTATTGAAACAAAAAGAGGTGGGGGAGAGGCATTATTATCCTCTTTGAAACATGATAGACTAACTCAAGGATAATCTGGAAAATTTCATTATGCACTGGTTATAAATGCTACCAAAATCTAATTTTTTAAAAGACTTATGTTCAGCACCCATTTGGAATGCCAATGCCAGAGGCATCGGCTTAACCCATTGCACCACAGTGCCAGTCCCTAAACATTAATTTTTAACAATGATATTAACATTGTGGTAATATAAGAGCATGCCCATTTTTTAGAGGCTTACTAAAGTATGAAGATGTGAAATGACACAATGTGGCCAGGATTTTCTTTTAAATAACTCAAACAAAAAAGCAACAGATGAAGTAAATGCACAAAAATCTTGGTAAGTATTAAATTTTGGTGGCTAATATTTGGAGATTCACATTACTATGCTTTGTACCTTTTTTTAAAGATTTTTTTCAACTGAGGAGGCTTTAAAAAGTTCATGAAGGGGCCAGCATTGTGGCATCATGGGTGAAGCTGGTGCCTGCGACACCAACACCCCATATGGCTGCTGGTTCAGATCCCAGCTATTCCACTTCTGTTCCAGCTCCCTGCTAATGGGAAAGCAACAGAAGCTGGCCAAGTGCTTGGGTCCCTGAATCTCCATGGGAGACCTGGAAGAAGCTCCTGGCTCCTGTCTTCAGTCTGGCCCAGCCCTGGCCATTGTGGCCATTTGGGCAGAGGACCAGCAGATGGAACTCTATCTCTGTCTGTAACTTCACCTTTCAAATACATAAAATAAATCTTAAAAAGTTCATGAAAAACGTGTATTATGGAAAATCTATTAATGAATCTCAAAAATGTCTTTTACTGAAAAAAAATTTTCTTTTAATTCCATTTTCCTTGAACATTTTGAAGCATCCTGGAAGCTTAAGGGGCTTGGGGACAGGACATGATTTCTTCCAGGTCGTACAGAGAAACGAGGTCAGCTTGCATCCTCCTGTTCCAACCTGCCCAGGCACCCATGTAACAAAGGGGAGCGAGCACAAGGCCCCACGCAGCGGCCACTGACATCTGCTCCACACACCCAGACTCTCACCCCAGACGCTCCGGTCAGCGGGAGGAGGGCACTCATTATTTCACTAAAATCCAATACATCCTGTCCATGTTGACCAGAGTACCTACCGCTAACTGTAGACAGAGCATCTAACGCCTTTGAAACTCAAATTTTCCACCCCAAGAAATTAAAGAATTCACACAGAAAAACCAGAGCATTCTTAATGAAAACGAGCTGTCACCTCACTACAGAAGCAGAAAATCCGGCAACCAGAGCTTCAGACCATGAACGGCTTCCAGGCCATTTGCCATCCATGAGCTGACACCGGCAAGAAAACCAGCACGTCAGGATTTCACAGTTCACTCCTGCTTCTCCCCAGCAACAATGCGAGACAGCCACATAAGCACCCAGTTAGGTGTGGCTCTCTGAACAGGCGGAAGACAGGATGAGGACAAGCAAATGCACCCCCTTTTCCTGGAGGAAAGTGAAGACGGCAGAGGTGAAAGTACAGCTGAGGCCGGACCCCAGCTGAAACAATGTTTTCAGAATCTAGCCCTGGACTGTCAGCTACACAAACAGGGACCACACTAAGGCTTCAATTCTCATAAATGGAATTGTTGATCTGTGTGGGGAAGAGAGAATCCCAGCACACGGCTGGTGGGAATGTGGATGGGAAAACTCCATGGAGGCTCCCAAAGAAATTTAAAAGTAGACTTTCCAGTCCTTCCCTTAGCTACTGACCCAAAGAGGGAGAATTGCCTTGTGCAGATACGTGCACCCTCATGTTCACTGCAGCCAAGGCACAGAAACAACCAACATGCTCACTGGTGAGGGGGTGAATAAAGAACTTTGTGTGTTTGTGTGTGTGTGTGTGTGTGTGTGTGTGTGTGAGAGAGAGAGAGAGAGAGAGAGACAGAGAGAGAAAGAGACAGAGAGAGAAATGGGATACTAGTCAGCCTTAAAGAAGTAGGAGATCCTGCCATTTGCCACAGCACAGAGAGACCTGGAAGACTTGCTGTGTGAAATAAGTCGGACACAGGAAGAAAAACACTGCATGATTTCATTTACATGCGGAATGTTTAAAAAGAGCTCAAGGGGCTGGAGTTCTGGCACAGTGGGTTAAGCCACTTCTTGTGATGCCAGCATCCTACAACGGAGCACTGGTTCGGGTACAAGCTTTTGTGCTTCCAGTCCAGTTCCCTGACAGTGCACATGGGAAAGCAGCAGAAGATGGCCCAAGTGCTTGGGCCCCTCACCCAGGTGGGAGACCCAAAAGAAGCTCCTGGTTCCCAACTTTGGCTTGGCCCAGCCCCAACCACTGCAGCCATTTAGGGAGTGACCCAGCAGATGGAATCTCTCTCTCTCTCTCTCTCTCTCTCTCTCTCTCTCTATCTCTAACACTGCCATTCAAATAAATAAATAAATCTTTAAAAAATATCAAATGCCCAAAGATATTCACTGCTTACATCAAGATGACACGTTAATCTACTCCACTCTACTAACCATTTTACTACCTATACAAAGAGTACTCAGAAAGCTTATGGATAAATTCACATTTTTACATATATGTATATATATATGCATTACATATGTATAGATTTCAAACATGTCCACATTAACACAAGCTTACCTCTTAATTCTATTTTTCCATGAACTTTCTGGAGTCCCCTCATATGTGAGTCATGAAACCATGTTGTAAGCCTCAAACAAACACAATGAACTTTATTTCAAATACATTTCTGTTAACAAAAACACAATGTGCTGGTACTTGTGACTTGTACCTAAGGCAGTACTGAAGGGAAATTTGCAGTTTTGGGTATTTATCCTAGGCAAGAAGGAAGACTGAAAACCAAGGATCTGTGTCTTCATTGTAAACGCTAGTAAAATTGTATAATTAAACCCAAAGTGCAAAAATCCATGTAACAGACAACACAAATTAATTTTTAAAATCAACAAAGTCAAAAATTGGTTCTTAGAAGAAAAATTAATAAAATTGATAATTCCCCTAGGAGAAAAACACAAATCATCTATATTGGGATAAAGGGGCACAGATCCTATGCTCATTAAAAGGATATTAAGGGAGTCGGCGCCGCGGCTCACTAGGCTAATCCTCCGCCTTGCGGTGCTGGCACACCGGGTTCTAGTCTCGGTCAGGGCGCTGGATTCTGTCCCAGTTGCCCCTCTTCCAGGCCAGCTCTCTGCTGTGGCCAGGGAGGGCAGTGGAGGATGGCCCAAGTGCTTGGGCCCTGCGCCCCATGGGAGACCAGGATAAGTACCTGTCTCCTGCCATTGGATCAGCGCCGTGCACCGGCCGCGGCGGCCATTGGAGGATGAACCAATGGCAAAGGAAGACCTTTCTCTCTCTCTTT